GGAAAGAGAGAGAGGAAAAGTTCTTCGCGCGACCTTTTCGTTGGAGCGACTAGGGGAAAAGGGCGATAAGATTAGAATTAGAAACGCGGTCAGGACACTGAACTTTGTCCTTTAATTAATTACGTCGGCCGTCGAGCGAGTTTCACGCGGAAGTCGCTATACCGGTGCTTATCGCTCGCTAGAGACGCGTCTTCCTCGCTCCTTCCGCGTGGGTGGCAGCCACCCTCCAAGAGCCACGTTCGTCTTCCATGTAGATAAGTACGCTCGCGTCGACTCGCGTCTTCGAATTAGCAGCCGTGTCCGGCCATGAAACGTCGTCGAGCCCTGCGATCCGACGATATCGCGACGATATCGCGACCCTGGACCGAACGACGAGTGAATTCGCGGATATTTGTGACGGTCGCGCGCGAGCGACATTTTGAGTCTTCCGAACGATTTTGCAACGATCTCTGGTAGTCGATTATGGTTGCAAGACCGAGAAAGGGAGGTTGAGGTATAAGTCTGGGGTTAGAGGATATTTACCAACAGTATTCCTTCGTCTGTCTTTGAATTCTTAGTGCCAATTTCTAGAGAGAAATCTGTCGCTACGGTGGACCGTCGAAATTTCGTTTTCGAGAATTCCATGTAAGAAGTTGCGCCTCGTAGGCGAGATTTCGCCGTTTCACCGTGTATTTGTACATGTATTATACGATTAAGAGACCGACTTCGCAAGGCAGCTCGACAGTAGCTCTAAAGAATAGGTCTAATCGACAAGTTACTCTATCATTATCGCGATTATCATAACAGGCAGCAGTTGTAACATTGAATCGGGAAAGGTAGATAGGAGAGACAGAGTGAGTGCGCTTTGTAGATATACGAAACTCGTTCAGTTAGAAGCGATAAGCGTCCATTGAGAGGGACCAGGAGAGTTCGGCCTGGAAACTCTGTCGAGTTCAGCGTCTCGAGAATATGTACATACGAGTATGTATGCCGAATGTTACGTAGTTTACCGATACCAGAGCTGATGCATGCGTATAGGTAGCTGTAAGTGCGTCGAGATATTTTTGAATAAAATATAAGCGTCTTTTAAAATCATATCAGTTCCTTTCCTCCATCCTCCCTTCTCACGTTCTGATTAAACAAGTTGTGGAAAAATTGAGGAATTATTAAATCATATGGAACAGTAGAGTGCTTTACCCTTTACCTGTTAATCTTTTTAAACTGTCATTATAAATTTCTCGTTAAGGATAATCTACACGAAGATACATATATATATATAGGGAATAAATTGACGAAGAAGATGTTAGGTTTTAAAATATATATTTATTACGAGCTAAAGCGAAATTAAAGTAATAAAGTAATAAATAATATAGTCATCAATTTCAATCCTACACCGTCGTCGAATAATCAAAATAATAAATGTTACATATGTTAGTGGTGGATGAAATATTAATAACAATAAGAACAATTCTTTATTTAATTACAAAAATGATCAAACGCGTATTTAAGTTTAAATATAATTAATTTATCACAATTGCACGCACACACCTCTTTTCACTATTAAAACTCAATTGCAACTGACCTATGCCAAATCACTCTCGTTTTTGTGTTTTCTTTTTTCATACGTTACATTAACATACACAATTATTCGCACAAGTCTCAATCATTACACGCATACTCATTTATCACAGTAACCTGAATTCATTAGATATTGCCATTCCATGCATACTTGTTCCACTCATCCCTTTCTTACATACATCACTTCTTTATTATATCAGCACATACATATTTAAAAATCTATGTAGCCATTACCACACATCGTAAATTTTTTTCTATTTTTTCTTTAAATTATTGAAAAAAATAAATTTAATAACATTAAAATTAAAGAAATTAAAATTAATACTATATATATAAAAATAAAATTTAAAAAAACAAACATTTTTTAATAAATAACGCTATCGGTATCTTTCCAAGTTATTAGATTAGACTAAAGTTACTAGAAAAAGTCACTGTAACTAGCCATCGTCGGTTCGGTATAATACCGCAATTAGGAAAAACGACGTGGAAATTATTTCTAGAGTCGGCATCACTCGGTATCGATATCGACAGTTTTCAACCCCTGCTTGCTTAGGCGGAAACGGTTATCAACTTGCGATCGGGAATTCCTCCGCGTCGTCCACCGCAACGGCGAGGTTCTTCTCGCCCGGGAAGTTCCCTAGGGAGAAAGCGAGACGTGAAAGGGGTGAACTCGTTGCATCACCGTCGACTCATTCGTGGCACACGTGACCAGATTGCACGTGCAATTGCACGCGTGGCTACGTCCGTGAAAGGACATCCCGTGCAAGCCTTAATAATAACCAGTTCCGAGAGATCGCGCGATTCGCGCTCGCATTAACAAGCGGCGCGACCGATCCGGTGTTAATTAGCTTTTAATTAACATTGTTCCGACCTGGGAGCGCACGAAATTTATGTAACTCGGTCGACTCGCTTCCACCCGACCAGATTCGCCACGTTTGATCCACATCGACTGTGGACAGGAATTTGGTTAATTACTCGACGAATGATATACCGGGGTATTGTTTAGATACTTGGCAGTTTGCGCGTAAAATAACGTAAAATTACTGCTATCCCAGGTAACAGAATTATCCGTAATTACTTCAACACGGGCTGCAACGATACTCGAACTACCTTTAATTGACGCTCTGCGATCCTTACTCGTCCGACATTTTATTCCCATCGATCCGTTTCTGGTTTAACGCGTGAAACATCTATCTTTGTGTTAATTTAATTTTGCAGCAACATCTTAATCCTTCGCGATTCACATTTCGCACTGTGTTTGTCGAAGAGGAGGATCATATGACACTCGACGTGTTTAAAATTTGGAAAAATTCTGTAACTTTTGTGTAATTTCATCGCGAATAGAACTAGTTATAGTGGTTAACTACGATTAAATAATTATCCGATACTTATACTTATACTTACCTGTCATTTTCCAGAGTTAAATCATAGCGCTAGGGGTTAATTGCCAGTCACTTGTATAGGGATGGATGCAGCAGGAA